AACTAAATATTATTCAAATGTATTATACATCAAAAGATAGAGCGTCAAAAACTGCATAAGATCCTGTATTTGAAATTTGATTATGATCGAATTTTGAGGGACGTTTCTTCAAAAGAAAGTTTTGGAAAACACGGCTTATTCCGATTTTTGAGGTTTTAATGACGTTTTAAAAAGTCACCCGTCCCGAAAGGGTTAAAAATACGTTTTTGATTCGGAGATATGTCACCTTATTGTTTCTGAGTGTTAGTTTTCTAGCAAAACCTGAACAATCTGTGTGGCAAGCGTAAAACAATCCTCAGTTTTTTGAAAGTGATGTACAATAGTTGTCCGATGATGCCTGTAAGGAGACACTCATCCTTCGAAAATGGATTTTTTGACGGAAAATCGAGTTTCAATTTTTCATGCGGATAGATAACCTGAAGTGTTCTCTTTTACAAGTAGTATAGGTCTTCATGAAAAATTTAGGTTTTGAGATATTTTCACAGATTTTTTGAAAATTTTCATCTGAGAAAGTTATGTGGACGTCAACAACAACAACAAGTTATGACTTCGACACTGACAACTCGTGGACAACTCAATATTTTGAGTTTCAATTTTTAGCGTAATCTTTTCATACTGCGATGTCTCATCCATCAAAATTTCCATTCAAATCGGTTTTAGTGTGGAAAATTTTTTCTGAATGAGATTCTTTCTCTAAGGAAAATTATCGAATTTTGTTTTTTCAATCTAGCTCTTAATCACTAATTGTGATTATGGTCGTGGTTACACTGCATGATAATCGTAATTAAGAACGTAACATAATCGCAATGTGTAATAAGTTTAATATGGCAGAATTTTTCTTTGTTTAGACTTATATTGCTGTGGCACCTCTATGTTTATATGTAAGCGGCTTGTTTACATCGTTTGCGATGCGTTACGTAAATAAACGTATTGGTCGAAAACCGACATTGTTATTCGGTTTGTTAGTATCATTTTTAACATCTTTTCTTTTCTGGTTCCTATTTCAATTCCAACAATGGGGTATACCTGTACCATTTACCATTTTGCTTGCGGCCATATTACTTGGTATAGCAACAACTACAACAGTGGTCACATCTGGAGCATTAGCATCAGATCTTATTGCACATAATACGGTATGTATGTACAAATATAATTTTATTACTTAGTTATACCTTATGATATATAGGTTGGACGGTTATGTTGTTCGCCATGTACTTCTAGTAATATAACTTCTCAGCACCCAATAACGACGATCTTAGACTGCCGTTTATCCAATCAGTAAATATGTACTACATTAAACTCAAAAAATAAAAGATCGTCGACTCAATCCTATATCCTAACTTTTATGAAAGTTATAAGAATTAATCTAAGAGCACCTTCTATCTCGTATATTATTTTTCTGTTTCATATGATATTAATAATCTGAAAGTATCGATTCTATATCAAATTATTTTTTGTTTTATATTTATCGTAAATTATAGCATTTTAGTTTATATTTTTATAAAGTTTAGTTCTTTATTCTAGGAAAGTGGTGCCTTTGTCTATGGTGCAATGAGTTTTGCTGATAAAATTGCAAATGGTTTAACGATAGCAACAATACAACAATACAATCCATGCACGTACGTAATCATTCATTTAGTGTTCTGCCCTAGGGCAGGTTCGAGGCATCCATTTCCTCCATCCTTCTCTATCCATTGCGCGACGTTTGTAATACAGGATGTTTTATGCTGAATGACTTTTACTTTCGTAAATCTTCAAATGTTATTGACATTTCTATATGACTGTTATTTGTAGTTCTTTTTTTTTTTTATTTCTTTTAGTACGTGTACATCGTGTTGTCCCTTATATTATCGTCAAATAATGACATTTGTGCCCGGAGGAATAGCTCTGTTATGTATGGTAGTATTAGTATCTATATGGACATCTAAAATTGGAAATAGACAAACAGGTATGATACTTAGCCCTCTCATTGCTTATCACATTTATCTGTAGTTGCCACAATAGTATGCTGTTTAACCTGTCTATAGAAAAAATCATCAATTATTTTACATTGTTTTTCTCTCTATCCACCAAATTCGCCTTAAATATCCACTTTAGCACCAATATCATACAATTGCTTATGGACATATCGATTATTTCAACGTTTAGTATCACGCTTAACAAAAAAATATCCAATGCTATGAAAAAAGTAGGAGACATATCTTTTGAGATAAAACTTCGAGATTCTTTTTGCTACTCGAAAACTAGTTAACCAATTTTTTTTTTGAAAATTTGAAAATTGTTTGTAGAATGTTTTAAAAAAGTCACTTGGAGTAGGAGTATAAGAAGAACTTCTTCAAAAAGTATCATTCATCTTTTTTCATATATTCTTCACATTAGAACTTCCACTATAAACAGAGAAAGTACAGTTAAATATATCTTCGTGTTATTTCAGAGAAATGACATGATCTACCGATGTAGGAAGCAAATGAACATATTGTTTTTTCCTGTAAAACTTTAAGCTTTGCATGTCAGGTGTTTGAATAGATCAAAGATTATCGCTTATGGGTTTTATTTTATGCTAGAATTTATGACGTTCGAAGGTTATTTCGTTGATAGTTTGATCTACAGAATTACCTAAGAAAGGGCAAAAGAGTAGAGAATGAGATATAAGCTTAAGAAGGTTTCATATGAGTAAGTCGAATAAGACGTTAGAGGTACAAACTAGCACGGATTCTTTGATTAATGAAAAAAATCATTTATTAAAATCATTAATATTTACTACGTTAAATTAATATTGGCGAGACAACAAATAGATACCTATTTAAGAATTAAGAGAAAAAATATGGACGAACTAGTAGTATGTGGTTTACAATATCTAGCTGTTGTCTTGACACCCACTATCACATATTAAAATGTCATCAAACGTTGCACACTCAAATTCAAATATAGGACTCAATTTTCATTTTTTGAACTAAAATTCATGTTTTAAAAAAGATTTTCAGTTAACCTAGATCATCATCTAATATTGATGTCTTAAGTTTAATTAATGTTAATTTAACTTGCTAAACATTAATCGAAAACAAATGATTTGTTGTTTTTCTCGGTAATTAGAGAATCCTTAAAAGTTTGTACATACAATGTCATCATCGGTTTACCTATCTGACATTTCCTCAAACTTATATTTAAATTTCGTCATTTTAGATTTTACTTTTACTTTCGCCATTACTTAAGCATACCGTTGGACAATATTAGCTTGATTATTAAAGAAACGATTTTTTGGGGCGAGGTATTCCAGCCAAGATTTCCTATGATTACTTGGATAATTTTGACCCCTACGCGGTTACCGCGCAGGGGCAAAATAAAATGTACCCGCGCTACAGTTTGCAGGTTAGAAAAAAACCTATTGTCCTGCACAGGCAGGAAGTGCAGGTAAAAACTTTTACCCTGCCCTGCAGCTGGACTCTAAGGCAAAGTATAACAATTTTTTTTCCTACAGACCACTATGTGGTTATAGACTCTATCATCAGTTACAATTCACTACTCTTGTTCTAACTTTTTCTCTTTCTGTTATCATTTTAGTCTTTTGACATCTTCTTTCTATACGTAGTGCGCATAGTAAAAGAACCATGTTAAAAACAACAAGAGTGAGATTCATTGTTTTCTTCATTCTCTGTTTTTGTCTCTCTTTCGTTTTAAAATATAGTACAAAAAGAACTGTTAATTAGTAAGGGATCATTTTGATCTTCAGTGTGGACAACATTTCTTTTGGTCTCCTCTCTCTTTTTATTCTCTATACAAAAACGTCTTTCCTTGCCGGGAATGCAGATAAAATCTTTCCTATAGGGAGTGTAGACAGGAAAACATTCATTTTTAGCTGCTGACCGTCAGTGAAAAAAATTTTCATTCACCTGCAACCCGCCTGCAGCTTTCAGTCAGTTTAAAATGCATGTGATCAGCTCTGCTAATGAATTAAGTGTTTATGTTAAGTGGACTAAAAATAAGGAAAATGGAAAAAAATAAGTTTCAAAGATAATAGTAAAATGATCTTTTTGCTTAAATTTATTATTACAATTTTTTAATTATATTATTCACGCTTTATTTTATCTATCATTTTTTAACTTTGATAATATATTTGTTCTGTTTGTTTATTTTTAGACGCAACTGTATTACGTTCTCCACTCTCCGAACATACTCCGTTACTTTCTGATTCGGTCAATGCCTGATAATATGTATACATTTTTCTTACTTTGATTTTTTGCACTAATAACTCACTTATTCTCATGAAAACAAAAAATCGATATTGTAAAATTCTCGTAATCTAGTCACGAAATATCGTTGTCTTTCTTCTATCAGAAACAACTTACATTCCTTTTCAATTTTTTTTTTGTACTGGTGCTGTATTCTGTTCATATATATAATTGAACTGTAATTCAAATTTATGATGATTTGTTTTTCTTTTCTTGTTTTTTTTTTTACTACTACATGTTGTTCTTTTGTTCATTCAATTTCTTTTTTACTGCGTTTTCGAACAGTAATTCATTTGGTTTTTTGAACAACGAAATGAGCCAACATTCATTTTTGTATTGCGGAATATCTAATTAACCCAAAATATAATAAACTATGTTGGATAAATTGATTTGAAAACTGAAAAGATTTTTGATTTTTTTTCTCTCATAGAATGTCGATTTAATCAAGTAAGTATGAGATCTATTGTCTTAACAGAATTCTATCTTCATCTGAACGTTATCTACGTTGATTTTCTCTCAATTCATGCACTATGCTCTGTCATCTGTTTAAACTTGTGTTAAACTTCAAATAAATCTGTTTTCATTCGATCAAAAACCACTTGATTTCTGTATCTTTTTGTTAAGATTTCTTCCAGTGTTGTTTGTTTTTTGTTTTAAGTTTGTTTATGACGACTTGAAGTTTTTCTGTAGCTTCAGTTATTTCTTTTGTGTTTACTCTCAATGGGTGAATAAGCAATGATAACGGTTTTCTTAAAGGAAGGTTCAATTTTAAGATTTTTGACGTTTTAAAATTTAAAAACGAAAATTTTGTAAAAACCCTCGTAAGTAAGTTTAGAATTTGACTATAAGCAACTTTTGTATACAAAATATTATTTTAAATTGCTTGCTTTGAGCGAAACTAACTGTAAGATGCTGTAAAAAAAACTATGTAGTTTTCCAAGTCTTGAATCTTTTCATCAAATCTTGCTCAGTTTGTAGAAGTTACTTCAAAGTATATGTCCTCAAGTTTTTTCGGCTTACCGACATTATTCGGCTAGGAAAAAAATGTTGTTAAATTTGTGAAAGAAGGCAAAATATTTTGCCTTGCAGTTACCGGTATAGGGTACCTCTGAATGACAGTTTTAACAGCCTAATATCTTCTCGACAGTTGACAAGCGGCTGACATGGTCTCCATCTTTCTACTAGTCATCAATCATAGCTCTAAACAGAAGCCTAGCCTGATGCAGAATTCTTTCGCCTAATTACTTGTGTTCTCTACACACTCACTAACCACGTACTAAGTTTTCGAATAGCTACACGAACCAGCTAGAGGAACTCTATTGTACATCACAACGTAGTGAGTATGCTGTTGAACGGTTTATATGACCTTCCGGCGCCGAGGTTCCAATACAGTACAGTACTTTGAAGTACGTGGCGAACAACATAACAACTAAGCCATGTCAGTTTATTATGAAAAAATTCTTGTCCATTCTTCATTCATCATAGAAATCTGATTCTGATGTAGATGAATAGAGAAATGAGTGAAGAATATTTACTACCGGAATTTCTTTTTGTTCTTTTCTTTCACGTTTATGATATAACTTTGGCAAGATGGGGGGAAGTTTTATGGAGCAACGCTAAAAAGATTTAGGTGATAACCAAAAAAACGAAAAAAAAGACTTTTAAAACTTTTCGGAGTAATTTTTCTTTTACTAGGAGTAAATTTTTTACTAATAATACTAGCCTAAGTATTGGATGGTTAGAGAGAAACATGTATTTTACGATCATAGTGCAGATATGATACGTACGCTTCATATCAAGCAGATTTCGTCGGATATATTCATCTACAACTACTTTTTTTATGAAATGTCTTTCCTCAAAAAAAGACTTTTTTACAGTTTTCTGGGATTTCGTTTGGTTGTTTCGTCATTACTACGGTTTGTCAACAAGAAGAAATCAGATGAATCTAACACTCAGACATGGTTCTTAACTTCACTGTAAATGTGAGCGCTAGTGTTTGCATTCTACTTTCAGATGCGATGTCTCTTTTTCTTAGATAGGTAAAACGTTAGAATAAAAAACAGACAGTTAAAGAACTATACAACAATAAAAAGTTATTAACGTAAAAAAAACAGCTTTTCTTCTTCCAGATTTTGTTGTTATCGTCGGACATTAGCCAGTATTTTCTGATATCAAGAATGTAAATGTTTAGAATGCCACCTATGATTTCAGCTATTTATGCATGTAACAGTTAGATCTATTTATGAACCATCGTTATCTAAAATTATTAATAGAGAACTAACGAAAATGGAGATATCTCTATTCGCATATGCACTATATTCGACGGCAAATGCGTCAGATGTCTGTATTTATTCTTTCTACTCTCTTCCTTCTATAAGCGTCAAATGTGCGGCAATGTAAGCACAGAATATATCTTGTGTGAATAGAGATATCTCCATTTTCGTTAGGTCTCTAATATATATGAGAGAAACGTAACTTTCTGGTACAATCGATAAAAAAAATGAAAGTGTTCATTAAAAAAATTTGAATGGTACGTTTTGTTCCCCTGTCTTTGCCGAGTATCCTATAAAAATTTTCCAACTGCCAGAC